GTCTGTTTTAAATGACCATGTTAACCACTTCAAGTCCGGACACTTTCACCCCCTTCCTGTCCAGGCAATTTTCAGCTTTCAGCGCTATCACACTTTGAATGACAATTGCGCAGTCATGCAACACTACCCATTTGAATTTTTTAGCATTTTTTTGAGACAGATAACACTTTATTTTGGTGGTATTTATTCACCATTGGGATTTTTATTTTTTTGCTATATAAATGAAAAAGTCCAAACATTTTGAAAAAAAAAGAAGTGTTTTTTCTTAGAAAATTTTGCAAATAAATAATCTTTCTTCATAAACCTTGGCCAAAATGTATTCATCTATCTTTTTAGTAAAAAAAACAAAAATAATCCAAATTCGTATATAACCAAATATAATTTAAAAAAAAAATTTTTTACATTTGTATTTTTTTTTTTTATATTATTATTCATGTTGTTTGTTGTTTTTTTCCATACTGTCACCCAAGCAGTACAGTGTCAACATAGTGATAGTGGGGGGTGATGAAGATTTTTTTTTTCTACACTGATTGCTTTTACACCCATAAAGGCTGTAAAAGCAATCATTTCTCCTTCTCCCTGGCTGCATTCTTGCAGCCATTGAAAAATACTGTGAGAGCTGTGATTGATCACAGCTTGTCACATGATACAAGGCTGTTGTGATTAGCCTTGTACCATGTGATCTCTGTGATCATTCACAGATTTCACAAGTAGCAAGCACTGATGTCAGGAAGTGACAGCTTGCTTGCTACTATTCATGTGATCACGGATTGGCCAATCTGTGATCACGTGAATCGGGACCTGACAGAGGTCCCGTACAGCAGCGGGCACTGGATCGCGGTGCCGCGCGCTCCCAGGAAGCGCGCACAGGCAGTGAATGCGGGGGCCATTTATAAACGGCAACCCGATTCGGCCCTGCTCCTGTCCGGCTGTTTATGTACATGGGCCCGGACGGAAAGTGGTTAAATCATTTGGCAGACAGCTGCAGCTCTGTTAAAAATTTCCAAAACGTTACCAATCTGAAATACAGTGGGTCAAAAGTACTGCTATTTAATAGAACACTGCTACAGTCCTTTTGGCATATTCATTTTAACTCTCTATGGAGAATGAAGCAGAATGCACTTCTGCAGGAACATCAAATGACACTGGGTCCATTTTTAATTGTTTTCACCCAAGATTCGCACAACTTTCACCCAGCATTCATATATTTTCCCAATTGATTACAGTTAGAATTATGCATGAGTCGTGGGAGAAAAAAATAAATAAAGCCCCTATTATAATAAAATGGACTGATATATTTTAGCCAAGTTTTATAAAACCAAGAACTCAACTTATGATAAATAATTATTCATGTGCCATTGTTCTCTTTTCTTGCATATGCAGCTTTTGGCCTCTTGCCCTAGGTAAGGCAGTTATTGAGATAAAAAGTCTATTATCCAAATCTTTATGTTCATCTTGAATTTATGAAAGGACCTGACCACCGAAAAGTGGAGCCTAGCGGACTGACGCAGCCATTATGTCAGAAGATCCTGTCATTAAATGTAAAAAATTGCAAATAAAAACAGGAAAATCAAGTGATTTTTTAATGCATACTTGCTGCATTTTCCTTTCCATAAATTATTTTGATTTCCTTGGAATGTGCCTCTGAACTTAATAGAATATCTGACTACTTAAGGCTCCATGCACACGGGGTGTTTTAGTAACGCTGGTAACGTTAGCTTTGTAAAGGCACTTTAAAAACATGAGTTTTTCAGCATTTTTGTATTACTGTTAGCAGTGTTTTGCCAAATTTTTTTTTACCCAAAAAAAAAATGCTGGTTTGCTGCGATTTACCGCGTTTTGCCATGTTTTTCAGTGTTTTACAGCTAAAAAAAACTCCTCTAGAAACCCACTAATTTGGGTTGTTTTCCCAGCCAAAAAACGCCGCTGCCAAAAAACGTTGATTACAGCTATGTGTGCATGGACACATAGGATAACATGCTGGGGGGTTTACTGGTTGTAGAAAAAAAAACGTCAAAAGCCACAAACAGCAGCTGTAAAAACGTCCAGTGTGCACGAGGACTTAGGGTACGTTCACACTAGCCTTGTTTTCAAGCGGCAGAAAGGCGTTTGGGAAGCGTTTTTACCGCTTCCCAAACGCCTCGGACAATTCGACAATTCTGCCAATTGCAGCACATGGTGCTGTTCTAATGGGAGCGGTAGCGTCGAGGCAAAACAGACGCCTCTGGTCGAGTCAGGAGGCGTTGAAGCCTCCTATTCTAGCCTATGGTGCCGCTCTGCAAACTCCCGGCCGGCGTTTGCAGTGCGGTTGCGGGGCGTTTGTGGAGCGGTAACACCATTCAAACTTCATTATAGGCGTTTGTGGGGCGTTTTTAACGCTCGCCAAACACCTACCAACCGCTGCTGAACCGCGCATGCCGCGGAGCGTTTGCGGAGCGGTAAAAAACGCTCCGCAAACGCCGGACCAACGCTTGCCAAACGCTATAGGGGCGTTTGGCAAGAGTTGGTAAAACAGTCAAGTGTGAACGAGCCCTAAGGCTCCATGTACACTGCAGCTGATGAACACACGTTTAGGAGCTTTTTTGCATTTTTTTTCCAGCCCCTGAACTCTCCCTAATGTTTTCCTATGTGTCCATGTACACATCGTTGCTTATAGGCAGTTGAGTTTACAGTTGTTTTTTTTGAACGCACCAAACTTGCGTTCAGGAGTAGATTTTATCAGTGTTTCAAACGCTTGTAAATGCGTGTTAAGGCGTGTAAACCCGGCTAACCGCGTTTATAAGCGTTTGCATTTGGAAATTTTTTTAACTCTTTTTTTTAACTCTTCCATTTCCAGATGCTGTCCAGAACCTTTTTTCATTATGAAAAATGCATGCAAAGCATTTTCCCGGTACACCCATAGTTTGAGGTTTTGCATGAAAGAAAAAATATGTTAGACACTGCTGCAATAATTTCTGCACAGAAATAAGCTGGAACACATCCAAACAGCACAAAAAAAAAAAAAAAAAAACACAGCTAATCTCAACAAATACTGCTCTTTGCTTCTGCTCTCTCTATTTCTCTAAAAATGTCTGAAATAGTTAATTTTTTACTGTCCAGTGCATTCTGGGCATTTTGGAAGGTCTCCTGAGGTTATCTTTAAAAAACGCTTCTAAACGCAAACGCTCATAAACACGCACAAACGCAGTATTTTAACCTTCGTTTTCCAGCAGTCAGATTCCATCGTTCAGAAGTGTCCCGTGTACATGGAGCCTAATAATATTACTTTATTATCATTGTATAAAAAACATAGAAAAACATCTCAAAGAGTCAAATCCCTGGCACAGCTCCCTCCCTTTTGAACATCCTGGGGGCAGCACAGTGGCTAAATGGTTAGCATTTCTGCCTGGCAGTACTATGGTCACTGGTTCGAATCTCAATCATGGCACCACCTGCCTGGAGTTTGCATGTTCTCCCTGTGCTTGCGTGGGTTTCCTACGGGTACTCCGGTTCCTCCCACACTCCAAAGACATGCTGGTAGGTTAATTGGCTCCTGTCTAAATTGACCCTAGTATGTGTATGTATGAGTGTAAGTGAGGGACCTTAGATTGTACGCCCCTTGAGGGTTAGAGACCGATGTGAATGTACAATATATATGTAAAGCGCTGCGTAAACTGACAGCGCTATATAAGTACCTGAAATAAATAAATAAATAAATCCTAAGGCTTTTCCTATTCCTGTGAACGTCTAATTACTGTGTGTGCTGGCCCAGCTCTTTCATCCCTCCCCTCAACCACCTACATGCACGTGTATCTAGCTACTGAGGGAGGAATACTATTGAGTGGGGTCAGCAACTAGTAGATCGTGATCTATCAGTACATCTTGGCCAAGTGACTGGTAGATCTCAGTCTGGCTCTCAGCAGATTGAAAAATGATATTTTCATGCCTTTTTAACATGCATTTCAGGTCAAGCCTTCTTTTCATTTGTAATAAATCATTGTTGTGTTAAGAAACCTGGAGGGTATTTGGACTGAATTACAATGTTCAGCAAGGTTTAAAAGAGAAGTTTGGGATATGAAAAAAACAAACATTCTTACTCACCTAGGTGGATGCAGCATTGATCCGATGCTGCATCTGTCCCTCACCGTCTCTACACCGAGAACTGAGCAATCAAAGGTCGCTGATCGATTAGTTCTCAGTCAGCAGTGAGCAGAGAGGTGGTGACTGTAAGTCTCTGGCTCTCTGCCCCTCCAACACTCACTGGAGCCCAAAGTGTGGAGGGGGCGAGAGCTGTTGGCTCAGGCTCTCGCCATATGGCTTAGATTTATTTTTATTTTATTTATTCCATGTACTTATATAGCGCCGTTTATTTATGCAGCACTTTACACACACATATATATATATATATATATATATTATATATATATATATATATATATATATATAGTACACATTCACATCAGTCCCTAACCCTCAAGGGGCATACAATCTAAGGTCCCTAACTCGCATTCATGTATACATAAACTAGGGCCAATTTAGACAGTAGCCAATTAACCTACCAGCATGCGTTTGGAGTGTGGGAGGAAACCGGAGTACCCAGAGGAAACCCACGCAGGCACAGGGAGAACATGTAAACTCCAGGCAGGTGGTGCCGTGGTTGGGATTTGAACCAACGACCCCAGTACTGCCAGGTGGAAGTGCTAACTATTTAGCCACTGTGCTACCCAAGATTTTGAGCCAGCTGCCGGTCCAGGCATCTGGGTAGAACCCACCATTAAAGTTGGGATCTCATCACAGTCTTGATCGGCTGTTGGCTGAATATGGGTCGCTGGAGTGCAGAACAAAGTTGTCCCCATCAGATGTATGGCCAAAAGTGCTTTGACATGACTTCTCCATTTAAAACAACAGACATGCACAGATCTGCTAAATCCAATGTACTGTATGTGAATGAAATGTGCCTCTCTCATGCCAAGTCTCCTGTCTCTGTGTTCCAGGTTTTTCCTGAAAGACGAAACCTGAATATGAACCATTATGCCAATAAGAAGAGTGCTGCAGAAAGCATGCTGGATGTCGCTCTGCTGATGGCCAATGCATCGCAACTGAAAGCTGTCATTGAAGAAGGACCCTCATTCGCGTACTATGTACCCCTCATTATCCTGATCTCCATATCTTTCATCTTCCAGGTTGTGGTGGGAATTCTACTCATATTCATTGGTTTGTATTTTTTTTAATCTTTGTGATCTGTTTTTTTTACCCCCGGGGAACCAGGAAAAAGATGTCCACCATGGCTCCAAGCCTCTTGGGGCTCCCTAGGTGTGAAAACTAACATGCCTGCAAATGCAATGTTAGCTACTGCTGTATGTCCCTGGTGCTCTGTGAAAGTTTATACAGCCCTGTGAACGTTCCCACAGCCAAGGGACAAAACAAACTGTGCTCACAGAAAGGAGGAAGCAACCGCGGCTTTGTTACTATGTCAGAGTTACTTCCTTTTCAGCAGACTGGCTGCCCGACATTTTCATTTGTTCTAGCAGCAAAACAGTGGGTTTGTTGTTTAAATAGCCGTCTGAACTCTTTTGTCTATAGATTTATGCTTGATAGGCTTTGGGGAACTACCTATTTAAATAATGTATATATTTGTGTGCATGTTTGTTTAAAGCTGGTGGTCTATATGACAGCCGAGAAATAAATTCCTGAGTTGGTGGAAAAACTCCGCAGTTTTGTTGGTTTTCTACTGACAGAGCTGTCATGTGTGTAAATATTTGCAGTTTACTGTAAGTTTGAAGTTCAATTGTAAATTGCTTTATCATTGTAAACAAAGATTCCAGAGAGTAATACTGCCGGAGAGGAAGAACAGCATGTAAACCAGCAGTAAGCACAAACCTAGTTTTTCATTGACATTCCCCTTTCGTTCTGTTTACAATGCATCCAGAAAGTATTCACAGCGCTTAACGTTTGCCACATTTTGTTATGTTACAGCTTTATTCCAAAATGCATTAAATTCATCTTTTTCCTCAACATTCTACAAAAAATACCCCATAATGACAACGTGAAAGAAGTTCGTTTTGAAATCTTTGCAATTTATAAAAAAACAAACAAAAAAAAAACCATGTATATAAGTATTCACAGCTCAATACTTTTTTGAAGCACCTGTAGCACCTGAAGCACCTGTAGCACCAATTACAGCCTCAAGTCGTTTTGAGTATGATGCTACAAGCTTGGCACACCTATTTTTGGGCAATTTCTCCCATTCTTCTTTGCAGTACTCCTCAAGCTCCATCAGGTTGGATGGGGAGCGTCGGTGCACAGCCATTTTCAGATCTCTCCAAAGATGATCAATCGGGTTCAAGTCTGGGCTCTGGCTGAGCCACTCCAGGACATTCACAGAGTTGGCCTATAGCCACTCTTTTGTTATATGGGCTGTGTGTGCTTAGGGTCGTTGTCCTGTTGAAAGATGAACCGTCACCCCAGTCTAAGGTCCAGAGCACTCTGGAACAGGTTTTCATCAAGGATGTCTCTGTAAATTGCAGCACACATCTTTCAATCGATCCTGACTAGTCTCCCAGTTCCTGCCGCTAAAAAAAACATCCCCACAGCATGATGCTGCCACCACCATGCTTCACTGTAGGGATGGTATTGGCCAGGTGGTAAGTGGTGCCTGGTTTCCTCCAGACATGACGCTTGGCATTCACGCCAATGAGTTCAATCTTTTTTGTTTTGTTTCTCATGATCTGAGAGTCCCTCAGGTGCCGCAAAACCAGGTCCCCCGTTCATTCTCCCTCTACAAATCTGCCTTCCTCACTTACACCTCCTCCCTCCACGCCGCCAAGCAGGCTTACTTCGTAAACCTGACTAACACCCTCTCCTCCTGCCCTCGCCGACTCTTCTCCACCTTCAACTCCCTGCTCTCCCCCCCCCCCCTCCTCCACTCAGTACCTCACTCACCGCCCACGAAATTGCCACTCATTTCCACAACAAAATTGATGCAATCCGTCAGGACATAGTCAACTCGCAATCTACCTCCCCACCTAGCCCCCCCCCCCCTATCTCCCCCTCATCTCTTCCCTTCTCTGACCTCGCAACCGCACTGCCCCCCTCCACACCCAAGACCCCGCTTACCGTAACCCCACCAGCTCTGCACTCCTTCAGCCCTACTACCACTGAGGAAGTCACCAGGGTCTTCTCAGAAGCCCGCCTCACTACCTGCCCCCTGGACCCTATCCCCTCTCGACTCCTCCAGTCACCCCCTCTTCCCTCATCTGCTCCTTCACCCACATCTTCAATCTCTCCCTCTCTACCGGCGTATTCCCCTCCCCCCTAAAGCATGCGCACATCACCCCCATACTCAAAAAGCCCTCCCTGGACCCCTCTGACCCAAACAACCTCAGACCCATCTCCCTGCTGCCACTCACTTCCAGACTCCTGGAGCGCTTAGTCTACAACCGCCTAAGCGCCCACCTAACTGACAACAACCTCCTTGATCCACTACAGTCCGGCTTCCCTCCCCTACACTCCACCGAAACCGCCCTCCTCAAAATCACCAACGACCTACTAACCGCCAAAGCCAAAGGCGACTACTCTGTCCTCCTCCTCCTGGACCTCTCCGCGGCCTTCGACACAGTTGACCCCCCCCCCCTCCTCCTTAATAAACTACTCTCCCTTGGCATCAGAGACACCGCTCTCTCCTGGTTCTCCTCGTACCTATCCCGACGCTCCTTCAGTGTCACCTACAATGGTGCCACCTCCCCTCACTCCCCCTCTCTGTTGGGGTCCCCCAGGGCTCTGTCCTTGGACCCCTTTCTCTTCTCCATCTACACCTCCTCCCTTGGCAAACTCATACACTCCCACGGCTTCAACTACCATCTCTATGCTGAGGACACTCAAATTTACCTCTCCACCCCTCACCTCACCTCCACTTTCTCCGCCCGCATCACTCACCTCCTAAACGACATCTCTGACTGGATGTCGCTCCATTTCCTCAAACTCAACCTCTCCAAAACCGAGCTTCTCTCTCTTCCCTCCTGCCCGCCCCCCCCCCCCCCCCATCCTACTAACATCACCACCATCAATCCCGCCCCGCAAGCCAAAGTCCTTGGAGTCATTCTGGACTCTAACCTCTCCTTCCAACCTCATGTCAAATCACTTACAAACACATGCAGACTCCACCTCCGCAATATCGCCAAAATACGCTCCTTCCTTACCCCAGACACCACTAAACTACTTGTGCACTCCCTGATTATCTCACGCCTTGACTACTGCAACTCCCTCCTCACCGGCCTACCCCAGTGCAGGCTCTCCCCGCTTCAGACCATCCTCAACTCAGCGGCTAGACTCATCCACCTCACCACCCGCTCCACCTCTGCCACCCCCCTCTGCCTCTCCCTCCACTGGCTCCCTATCGCCCAACGCATCAAATTCAAACTACTCACTCTGACCTACAAAGCCATTCACAACACTGCCCCTAACTACCTCACCAACCTGATTCCCAAGTACCACCCTACCCGTACCCTTCGCTCTTCACAGGACCTCCTTCTATCTTGCTCCCTGGTCTCCTCCTCACACGCACGTCTGCAAGACTTCTCCAGGTCCTCCCCCATCCTCTGGAACTCACTACCCCAATCCATCAGACTGTCACCTTCCCTCCTCACCTTCAGGCGCTCCCTGAAAACCCACCTCTTCAGGGAAGCCTACCTCACCCTCACCTAACTGCTGCTCTCCTTCATTCCTCCTACCACTCCACCCCCACAGCCACTTCCTCCTGTACCACTACCCCCTCCCTCCTAGATTGTAAGCTCGAAAGAGTAGGGCCCTATAAACCCCTCGTGTGCTGTTTGTAGTTGCTGTAATGTTTCATGTATTGTCCCCCCCTCTATTGTACAGCGCTGAGCAAACCCTTTGGTGCTATATAAACTCAATGTAATGTAATAATGTAATGTGCCTTTTGGCAAACTCCAGGTGGGCTGCCATTTGCCTTTTACTGAGGAGTGGCTTCTGTCTGGCCACTCTACCATACAGGTCTGATTGGTGGAGTGCTGCAGAGATGGTTGGTCTTCTGGAAGGTTCTTCTCTCTCCACAGAGAAACACTGGAGCTCTTTCAGAGTGACCATTGGGTGCTTGGTTGCCTCCCTGGCTAAGGACCTTCTCCCTCGATCGCTCATTTTGGCCTAGCAACCCGCTTTAGGAAGATTCCTGGTGGTTCCAAACTTCTTCCATTTACGGTTAATGGAGGCCACTGTGCTCATTGGGACCTTCAATGCTGCAGAAATTTTTCTGTACCCTTTCCCAGATCTGTGCCTTGATACAATCCTGTCTCGGAGGTCTATGGACAATTCCTTGGACTTCATGGCTTGGTGTGTGTCCTGGCATGCACTGTTAACTGTGGGACCTTATATAGACAGGTTTATGCCTTTCCTAATCATGTCCAATCAACTGAATTTCTAACAGGTGAACTCCAATCAAGTTGTGGAAACATCTCAAGGATGATCAGTGAGAACAGGATGCACCAGAGCTCAATTTTGAGTGTCATGGCAAAGGCTGTGAATACTTATGTACATGTGTTTTCTTCATTTTTTATTTTTAATAAATTGCAAAGATTTCAAAACAAACTTCTTTCACGTTGTCATTATGGGGTATTGTTTGTAGAATGTTGAGGAAAAAAATGAATTTAATCCATTTTGGAATAAGGCTGTAACATAACAAAATGTGGCAAAAATTAAGCGCTGTGAATACTTTCTGGATGCATTGTATATAGACAAATGATATGCTGTAAGGCTACTTGCACACTGGAGCTACCATGGCCATGGCAGCAGAAAAACGATAAACATGGTAAAAATCGCAGGTAAACACGGTACTTCACTGGCCGCGTTTAACCACTTGCCTCCCAGAGGATTTACCCCCCTTTCTGACCAGGCCATTTTTTTTTTCCATTACGGTTCTGCGTTACTTTAAGTGACAATTGCGCGGTCATGCAACGCTGCACCCAAATAAAATTTATGACCTTTTTTTACCACAAATTGAGCTTTCTTTTGGTGGTATTTGGTCACCTGTGTGTTTATTTTTTGCACTAAAAAAAAAAAAAAAAAAAAGACCAACAATTTTGTGAAAAAAAAATATTTTGATGACATTTTGCTACTAAACATGTCCAGTAAAAAAAATTTAAATATCAAATTTCATTATAAATTTAGGCCAAAATGTATTCTGCTACATATCCTGCTAA